TCAGGGTTCTCCGGGCAGTCGGAAAGTGACGTTCTGCAGTCTGAAGCAGTCAATTGGCCGTCCTGGCTGCGTGGAGGCCCGGCTTGAGGGCACATTGGGGCAATCCGGAAGCCTCCCGGGGCCTCCTTGAAGCAATTTTGATGCATCGAGAGCACTGTTCGGCTATCTTGGGGCCCCGTGTACGTCTCCTGTGAGCCTTTTGGGGCCTGGTGGGGGGCTTTGGGGGGCCTCGTCGAACCACTTGGGGACTCTTGGGGCCTCCTGTGGGCCTCTTAGGGCGAAAGGCTCTGCTGTTGGGTTCGCGTTCTCCTTCTTGGGGCTCTCTTGGGGCCCTCTTGGGGCCCTCTCGGGCCGTCTTGGGCGCCTGGGGCACCGTCTTGGGGCCCTCGTGGGCCGTCTTGGGGCCCTCTTGGAGGCCTCTGCGGTCTTGGGGGCCTCTTGGGCCGTCTTGGAGCGTCGGGATGCCAAAAGGCTGGGAACTTTAGAATCCATCAAAAGCCGATGGGAAAGCATTGCTTCTTGGAACCTCTTCGGCCTTCTGGGGAGCTTCTTGAGGGCCTCTTGGGTCCCATTTGGGGGCCTCTGGGGCTTCCTGAGAGCCTCTCGGGGTGGAAGGCTTGGATTTTCAGTTCGTCTTACCCCTCTTGGGCCCCCCTTGGGGCCGTATTGGTGCCCTCTCGGGCTGTCTTGGGCCCTGTTGGAGGCCTCGTGGGCTATCTTGGATTGGTCTTGGAGGCCTGTTGGGCCGTCTTGGAGCGTCAGGACGCCAAAAGGCTGAAATGTCTAACAGCAATCAAAAACCTACGGCAAGACATGGATTTGTGCCTCTTGGGGCCTTCGTGGGAGGCCTCTTGGATACGCGTCGGCCCCCTGGGGGGCTTCTTGGGGCCTCTTGGAGCCTGTTAGGGGCTTCTCGGGGCCTCCTGAGAGCCTCTCGGGATGGAAGACTCGGATTTTCGGTTCGTGTCAACCCTCCATCTTGGGGCCGTGTTGGGGCCCTCTCGGGCCGCCTTGGACGCCTCTGACGCCGTCTTGGGACCCCCGTGGGCTGTCTTGAGACCGTCTTCGAGGCCTCTGGGGATGCCTTGGAGCGGAAATTGAAGCCTCTTGGGCCGTCGTGGAGCGTCAGGAAACTCAAAAGGCGAGAACTCAAAATCGATCAAAAACCAAAGGAACAAATTAGTTGTGCCTCCTGGGGCTCCTTGGGAGCCATCTTGGAGACCTCTTGGGGCGTCTTGGAGGCCTCTGGGACAGTCAGTGACCAATTCTGGGGTGCTCTCTGGCGGTCGTTGGTCGTGTTCGTTGTCTGGAAACGCGATTTCTGGCAATCCAAGGCCGTCTTCTGGCGACTTTACAAGGCCCCCAGCGCCACGGCAGGGCCCCCGGGCCTCCCTGTGCGAGGGCCCCATCCCGGGCCCCACCTCGTGCCCGCGGCAGGGCGTCCCTGGGCCGTCTCGGCGCCCTCGTGGGCCGTCTCGGCGCCCTCGTGGGCCGTCTAAAATCCATCAAAAATCGAAGGACACTCAATGATTTTGGTGTCCCTTTGGGCCGTGTTGGAAGCCTTGTGGGCCGTCCGGAGGCCATCCTGGGCGTGTTCGAACGATATGTCCTCGTTTCGGGGCCTCCCGGGGGCCTCTTGCGGCCCTTTTCGTCTGTGTTGGGGCTTTCTTGGGCCGGCCCTGGGCTGTCTCGGCGCCCTCTTGGAAGCCTGTTTGGGAGATTTCTGGGTGTTCTGGACCGTCCTCCTTCAACGTCGGCGGCACTGACCGTAAGACTTCCTGGGAACATGATTTGTTGGGGTGTCGTTGGGCGCCTCCAGAGGCTTCGGAGCCTGACGCTCTTCCGAGCGTGACGGCAGGTAGCGCTGCTTGGGACTCTCGTGTTTTTATCCTGGCAGGCGTTTAGGGAACATGGTTTGGGGGAAGGCGGCGACCCGAGAATCATGTTCCCGGGAAGCTTTCCAGGAACATGATTTGTTCGGCTCTCCTAACAGGGGGGCCTCTGGGGGCTTGCTTACCGAGGGGCCCTTTTGTGGCCCTGTCGGCAAGCCTATTGGAAACATGGTTGGGGCGGTGGGCGGAAGCCCAAGGAATCATGTTCCCGGAAAGCTCTGGGAAATACGATTTACCGAGGTCTCTTGGGGGCCCGCAGGGGGCTTCCCTGGGGCCCCTTGGGAACTCATTGGGGCTTCCGGGGGGCCTCTTGGGAGCCTCACGGGGCTTCTTGGGAGCCTCTTGATGGCCTCTGGGGGCGTCCTAGGAGCCTCTCAGGCTGGAGACCTTGAAATGTCGCGCTCTTCGGGCCCTCTTGGGTCGCTCTTGGGGCTCTCTTGGGGCGCTCTCGAGGCCCTCTTGAATTATCTGGGGAGCTTCCTGGGCCGTCTCTGGTCTTTCTTGGGAGCCTCTTCGGCCGTCTTGGAGCTATCTGAACGGCCTCTGACGCCGTCCGGGACCGTGGGGAGGCGGAACATGCGAGAGCGCAAAAATGCGGGGCCCTTTGGAGGGGGGCGCTCTTGGGGCGTTTTGGCGGCGTCGTCGGCCGTCCTGAGGCCATCTTCGGCGTGTCCGGGGCCTCTTGAGGCTGTCTTGGCAATCTTTAGGGCCCTCTTGGCGTGTCGTGGCGTGTTTGGGAGCGGACCCGGACAGTCCCGGGAACGCTGGGGGCTGTTGAATGCTAGGTGTTGTCTTGGAGGCGGAGGCTGTTGAGTGCAGGGTGGCGCGGGCGGCGGGCGGGCGGGTGGCGGGCGGGCGGGCGGGTCGGGATTTGAATGAATTCCTTAAGGGCGCTCTCTTGCAGCGGGAGCTTGCTGAGCATAGGGTGTTGCCTTGAAAACGGGTGCTGTTGACTACAGGGTGTTGTCTTGGAGACTGAAGCTGTTGAGTACAGAGTGGTGCGTGCTACGCGGACGGCGAACGGGCGGCGGGTGCCCTAGGTGGTGGGTCAGAGGCCTCATGGGTGTTGGTTTGGATCTCGTAGGTGGCCTGTCGGGAACGTCGTGAAGGCAAGTTCGCATATTCTCGGTAACCGTTTTGGGACCGTAGTGGGGCCTCCTCGGGGCTGTTTTGTGGCCTTTTGAAGCCTCGTTTGGGCCTCCTGGGTGCCTCTCGGGAGCCTCCTGGGGCCCCTTGGGGGCTCCTTGGGGCCTCCTGGGGCACTCTTCAAACAGGGGGGTCGAATTTTGGAGTCGTGATCCCCTCTTGGGCGCATCTTGGGGCCGTCTTGGGGCTCTCTTGGGCTGTTTTGGGCGCCTCTGGGGTCGTCTGGGGGCCCTCTTGGGCCGTCTTTGGGCGCTCTTTGGGACCTATTGGGCCGTCTTGGAACGTCGGACAGCCGAAAAAGCTAAATCTCTCCAAAACCCTAGTAAAATTACCGATTTCGGCCACTTGAAGCGCTCTGGAGAGGCCGGAGCACTGGACCCAGGACCCCGGGAGGAGCGTCCGAAAGTCGAAGGGCGACAAGAACATCGGCGGGAGGCGGGCCGAGAAGTCGAAGGGGCGAGCGCGGTCCCGAGGGGCGACCGGGGCGGGGACGGCGTCGACGACGACGACGCCGACGACGGCGACACCGCCGACGACGGAGAATTCTCTCTGGGATCCGAGGGCCTCTGCGCTGGCCCGGGGCGGGAGGTGCCACCGCAGGAGGGCCACGGCGCGCATGGCGTCCAGGAGGCCGTTTTCTTGGACCGGCGGCGGCGGCGGTCCGAAGTGCGGCTCGTTCGCACCGTCCGTTGTGAGGTTCCTCGGGGCTGTTTGGGAGCCTCTTGAAGCCTCGTTTGGGCCTACTGGGTGCATCTTGGGGGTCTCCTGGGGCCTCTTAGGGCCCCTTTGGGGCCTCCCGGGGCCCTGTGGAGGCGGGAGGCTCGAATTTCCGGTTCGCGGTTCCCCTCTTGGGGCCCTCTTGGGGCCGTCTTGGGCCTCTCTTCGCCCGTCTTGGGCGCGTCTTCTTGGGCCGTCTTGGGGCCCTCCAGAGCCATCTTGAGGCCCTCTTGGAGGCCTCTTGGGCTGTCTTGGGGCGTCCGCGGGGGGCCTTTGAGCCGTCGTGGAGCGTCGGAAAGCTGAAAAGGCGGGAAAGGCAAAATGTGTCCAAAACCGTGTAAAATTAACTATTTTGGCCTCTTGGGGCCCTCTGGGGGGGCATCTTGGAGGCCTCTTGGAGCGTCTCGGGGGCCTCTTTGGCCGTCTTGGGCTTATCTTGGGCATCTTGGGGCCCTCTTGGCGCCCTCTTAGGCCTCTTGGAGCCTGCTGGGCCTGTCGTGGAGCGCTCTTGGGGCACTCTTGGGCCGCCTGGGCTGCTCCAGGGAGGCTCCAGGCCCCCCCCGTCCCGCCATGGGGGGTCGAGGCACCTGTCCTGGGGCCCCGGGCCTCGCCCCCAGGGATATATATATATATATATATATATATATATATAGATATATATAGATATATAGATATAGATATCGATATAGATATAGATATAGATATGTGAATGTGTGTGTGTGTGTTGGGGGGGCACCCGTTTGGGGCCCGAATAGGAGGATCCATTTAAGACACGGTTGGCTCGTTTGGAGGAGGATGCTGCACAGGCGTGTACGATTCCTCACCTCCAGCTTGCAACGCTGGGGGAGGTTGCTCTTGAGACGCGGTCCCTCACGCGCAGCCTTCGGTAACACTGGAGAAGGCTGCAGTTGAGAGGCAATGTGTTCCTGATCTTTCGTCTGCACTGTACAAGGGGGGTACGCCTGAGATCAAGCTGGTTCTTCACTTCGAGCCTGCAACAACGCTGACGAGTCTGCGGGGGAGGCGCCCCATCGCTGGCCAAGGCGGAGCTCGCCATCGTCCGCCAGCGCGCAGGGTGGTCCTCTCTGATGGGCCCCCCCCCAGATTCAGTTGTGACGTGCGAGTCTTTCCCCTAGGGACTGTCAACACATGCCTCAAAGCTCATCCTCTGTCCTGTTCCTCTTCGTCCACTTTCTCTTCTACACAGCATTGCATTTTAAAGCGTTCGTGCAACTGCGTCGTCGCCATCTGGGCTTCGTGCATGTTCTGCAGGACTGCGTCGAACTCCTGGTTAGGGAAGTCCTCGAGATAGACAGAGAGATCTTACTTCAAAACACATCGTGCGATACGACACAACACGAGACTCGTAGGCATACCGTTATGCAGCCTCCACCTAGCAAGGGGCAATGCGAGAGAGAGAGAGAGAGGGTAGGCGAGAGAAAGAAAGAGAAAGAGAGCGACAACGTAATCGGCCCACGAGCCTGGAAAAGGACATAGAAATGTAAAACATGGGATACTTCGAGACACCAAACAATTGCAATGCTCAACAGAACGCTGGTGATGTACCGTACCAGGGGATGTCTTCTGCAGTGTTGTGACCACCACCACCACCATCACAATCACCACCACCACAACCACCATCATGACCATCATGACCATCATGACCATCATCATCATCATCAGCATCATCATGATCATCATCATCATCATCATCATCATCATCACCACCACCACCATCATCATCATCATCACCATCATCATGATCATCACCATCATCATCAGCATCATCACCCTCTTGTTACTCCTCGCAGGTCGCGTCGCCGTCTTCGTCGCCCTTCTCCTCCTCCATCCTCCTCCTCCTCCACCTGTTACTCATCGCACATCGTGTCGCAGTGGTAGTCGCCGGTCTTCTCCTCCGCCTCCTCCTCCTCCTCATCCTCCTCCTCCTCCATCTCCCCCTCCTATTCATCTACCTCCTCCCCTCCATCCTTGTCATCCTTGCCCTGCTCGTGCGGAAAACAGACCGTCTGCCCAGCCTTGCCAGATGTGCCGCATCCCCCCAGCCGCAGGGTTGCGTCTCCTCCGCCTTTTCGGAGGAGCCAAACGGAGAAGGGCATCAGACGGATGCGAGTTGTGAGCACGAGGGGGGCCCGAGGGAACCGATAATACCATGGCGCAAATGCTGCGATCCATTTGAATCCAATCCTATTTCGTGCCGTTATTCCGTTGAACAACTCCCCATGCCAGACAAAACTATCTCCCTTCCTTTCCCCCCCTCCTTATCCGTCCTCCTTCCGCGCCCATGCGCCTCCTCCCTCCCTCCCTCCTCCTCACACCCATTATTCCTCCCTCCTCCTTCACTTCTCCTGTGCCTGCTCCCGACCCAAATTACTCGTCGGGAGGTCCTCCTCCTTCTCGAGCTCCTTCTCGCTGGAGAGTGCCGACGCCCAGGCGGTGCCGCCGGGCTGCGCAGCGGGGAGGACGCGGCCGCTTTTTGCCAGAGCCGCCCCCGCGCTGGCGCGCTCTTGACCGGGGTGGTGCCCCCTCGGGGCGGCGGACGAGAGCGGGGTGCTGGCAAAGGAGTTGGGGCGGCGAGGCGAATGAAGTGTATGGAACCACTTCAAAGCGCGAAACAAACGGGACCTGGATGAAGGGACTCCTGAACGTTTTTCGCCGTTTGCAAACACCTGGGGCTCTCCAAAACTCCCATAACTTTCAAACAAAAAGATCGGGATGAAGACCGAGTCCCTGAAACGCCTGTTTCCATCAGGGCCCTTTCCTTCCAGGAACTATTTTTCCAAGCGCTGGAGTCGGCAGTGTGTCGAGCAAAGTGCCCAGCGCAGGGGCCGAAACCAGCTGCGCGATGAGGGTTTCGTCACACGCCCATTCCCGCTCCCGCAGCCATCACCTCATGCCGCACCGATCTCGGGTAGGGATTCGTCCCCGTGGCCGAGCGCAACTGTCCCTCCACAGCACAACGGACACATGAACACTGCACCGAGCAGCCCGTCTCGGCCCGGGAGCCGCGCAGTCTCCTTACCAACGCGATCTGCTGAGAGGGTCAGCATCGAGACGCGACTCTCACTGAGGAGTAAGTCGCATACCAGCAACAGTGCATATCCACTGCCTGTGGAACCGATATCCCAGGGCCCCATGTGACGGTGGATGTCGATATTATCTGGGGGCCGATCATATCCAAATCCACCGCCTCGTGCGATCCTAGGGCCTCGTTTCCCCAAGCGGCGAATATGCAGAACGTCTGGCCCTGGACTCCATGATATCCTCCTTTCCACCAGAACAACGAACGGGTGGCTTAAATGGGTGCAAACAGCCGGGGGGAGGCACCGCGCAGGGGTCGTGGACACTGCAGGTGCGAGTTTTTTTTTCCAGGAGACAAAACCGCGGGGTACTTCTTCTGTTTGAAGTGGGTGGCCTGGCGGGGAGAAGTGCCCCCTTACCCTAAGCCCCCGTGCCTCCGTACTCGCTCGCAACCTCTTGCCACGACGCTCAAAACTGAAACGTTCGAGCTAACATCACGGCGCCCTGTCGGCCTGGCGTCCACGGAGCGCCACAGTTTGGACGAGGGGAAGACGGAGGAGAGGAGGAAAAGGACGAAAAGGGAGAAACGGAGGGGAAACAGTGTGCTCACAACGAGTGGCCCGCCCTCGAAACATCCAGCCGAACTCGACGGACAGTGGGGCACCACTGTGCGGAGGAGGAGTAGGAGGAGGAGGAGGAGGAGGAGGAGGAGGAGGAGGAGAAGGAGGAGGAGAAGGAGGAGGAGGAGGAGGAGGAGGAGGGGGAGGAAAAGGAGGAGGAGGAGGAGGAGGAGGAAGAGAAGAAAATAAAGGAAGAGGGGGAGGAGGAGAGAAGGCGAGAAGAGGCGGAGGAAGAGGAGGGTGGGTGGACCATCAGCTGGCGAATGATGCGAATTCCGCCTGGAATCTATACGGCCCAGGTTACGGACAGGCTGTGAAGGAACAGTCCCCCCAGGCCGAGCGACAGCATAATTACCGCCAGGCGAATTAAATGCAGCGAAGCGTGAGCCAAACGAACTGACCAGGCCCAGAAGGGGAGAACACGAAGAGGAGAGACGAGGACGAGGAGGAAGAAAAAAAAACAACAACACCATCGCCGGGTGCTCTGAGCCCCTCGCACGCGGCACCCGGGCCCAGGAGAGGAAGCGGGGGGCGGCGAGCAAACGGGCGAGCAAACGCAGGGCGGGGTGGAACGGGGGGCACGGACGCGGGGCGTGAGCCACCAGACCACATCGTTAGGCGCGCGTGCGGGGCGGGCGGGGGAAGGGGAGGCGCTGGGGGCGGCGGGGGAGGGCGCGGCCAGGGCCAAGGCGCAGGCGGACCCGCCCTCAGTCGTCTGCGGCCTGGCCAGGTCACCACGCCTTGACGTGGGCGGCCGCTCGCCGCCGCAGCGCCGCATTGGCCGCGCCGGCCAGGTAGCGCCGCGGCCGCGCCCCGCGGAGGATCCGCTCCGCCGGGCAAGGCGAGTCACGAATGCGCAAAATATGGGTCGGCCGTAGGTGAATATTCTGACGGCCCAGAATATGGCTGCGGGGGGCGCAGTAGGCAACTGTGTGCTCCCACATGCTGGGCGCGCAATTCGGGGCAGCTTTGCGCGTCGGGAGAAGCTGTCGAGAGCCGTAAGCCCGTGCCCCAGCCGTGAGCGCGCCCGCGGGCCTCAATCGGGCGCCCAAGACCCAGGATCAGGTTCTGCGCTGCGACTTCGGTTGGCAAATCTTGGCGCCTCGTGCGCTTGCCGTGCACGCGCGCGGCTGTCCTTTCGCAGCCTCGGCCCTGCTGCAACAGAGGGCGCGCGAGCCCGCGGTGTCGAGCAGCGCGGTGCCACGGAGGTTGCAGGGGGTGGGCCCGCTGGGGTAGGCGGCGCCGACGCGCGGCCGGTGCCGGAAGTTTTCGACGAACTCCTGGCGGTGGAGGAGGGGCCCCTTCTGCCTGTTTAGCGCCCAGAGCCACTCGCGGTTGGCGTCGGGGTCGCCGAAGTCTTCCGGGCGGCGCAGCGCCGGGCTGTCGTCGGCATACGCGCGGCGCCCGAGCGGCCCCAGGCGCGTCCGCGCGTCGTGGCGGGCCAGGGTAGCCGACTGGAGGTGGGCGCGGCCGCCGGGCGCAGCAGCAGGGTGCTTGTCGTCCTCGTCCTCGTCGAGGGGGCAACGCCGCTGCCCGCGCGCCGGGGCCGGCCGTTCGGCCTGGGCCGTAGTTGGCGGGCGCGGCAGCGTCGCGGGAGCCAGTCCGGCGCCCCTCGCACCGGTCGGCCTCGTCAGCGAGGAAGTTCAAGAGCTGTATGCCGGGGTCGGAAAGAGGGGCCCGACCAGATCGAATGACCGCGGCGCCCATCGCGCGCAAGTCGCAGGCCCCCATGGCCGCGGCCGTGGCGCACGGGCTGGCCCGGGCCAGGCGCTGTGCCATCTCGCGCGCGCGGGCGTGCGCTCGCGCGGCTTGCGACGCGAGCGCCAGCGGGCGCGCGCTCCGCGGCGCGCGGGCCGAGGCCGCCCCGGGAGACGCCTAGCTTGCCCCCGTGCGTCGTCTGGCAGGTCGCCGCCGACGATGATTTCCACCGCGGCGCGCAGCCCCCTGTCGAAGGTGGCGAGCCGGCCGTGGCTGACCCTGTCCCCGTTGAGGCGCGGCCGGCAGGGCGCGGCGCGCGAGCGGGTCGGGGCGCGCTCGGCGGGGGCGCGGTGGGCGCTAAGTAGCGCGAGGCGGGCGGTCGGGGCCTTCCCCGCGACCGCTTTGACCTCGCCGCCCGGAGCCTCTTCGCCGCCGGGAAAAAAGCGCCCGCGGCGAGCGCCGGGCCGCGCGGGTCGAGGGCGTCGCAGAATATGGCGCGCGCGCGCTGTCGGCGACCCAGTCGCCGCGGAGGCGGCGCTGTTCCTGCGGGCAGAGAAGGCGGCAGGAGCTCCAGGCCGCGCCCTCGGCAACAGCGCCGCGGGCGCCGCCGCTGCGCGCGAGCTCGGCGCCCTGCGCCCTGAGCCAGGGGGCGAGGTCAGCTGGCCAGACGAGCCCCGGCGCGCGGGCAATCGCCCGCGCGCCGCTCCTCGCGCGCCCGCGGGCCGGCGGCGGCTGGCGCGGCCGCGTCGGGAACGGCGCCCAGGGCCGGCGCGGCGGCGGCAAGGCGCCGGGGGCGGTCGCGGTGGCAGACGGGCCGGGAGCGGCGGCTGGGACCGAGCAGCGCGCGGCGGGGGGCTGGCGCGAGGCGGCGGCGACGGGCGCCGTGCTGGCGCAGGCGCAGCGGCGGCGATGGCGGGCGCGCGCGCTGCCGCGACGGTGAGCCCAGCCCGGGCGGCAGCAACCCCGTCGCCAGAGGGCAGCTCGGTGGCGGAGGGCCCGCGGCGGCGCCATTTTTCGCCCAAGCAGCGACTTCCAGGCAGAGAGGCGCGCGGGTCAATCGCGTCACGCGCGCGGCCCCACTCGAGGGCCAAGCCGACGTCGAGGGCGGGCGGGCGAAAATGGCCCCGGCGGCGGCCAGCCCCTCCGCGGCGCCGTGCCGGCGCCATCGCCTCGCAAGCGCCGGGGGAGCCAAAGCCCCACTGGACCGCGCGGAGCTTGCGCAAATGCTTGCTGGCGTAGCATGTGGCGGAGGAGCTGCGGCCGCTCGCTTAACGATATGCTTCGATAGCGTCGGACGGCTCAGATGCAGAATAGATCTTGGAATCGATACTCCGCCACTGTCCTGGAAGTTGACCTATGATCATCATAATCGCACATATTTACTTCACATGTTTCAGCACATCTGGGTACCAGTGGGTATCTTGGATTAGACCTCGCGAATTGGCGAGAGATGATCGGCGCGAAGTCCCCACATCTAGCTTCTGATGGCACTTCAGCAAGCCCGGTGACCAGGTTAGCTACGCTGTTTGCTAGATCAGATCGGTGAACCCACCTCAGTAGGTTAGGCGCACAGGTATGTTTTATGTGTTTAGATGATCTATTGGTTTTACCATTGACTTGTTTTTCGGATGTTGCAACAAAGTGTTTCTACATATTTCAAAGTGCGAGGCCTTTTTATTGGTTCCATTTGAATATTCAGCGTTTAGAACGTGTTTTGTTCAGCAGGCTGTGCTTTTGTGTTTCAGCGATATGCAATTGACTCGCGGTGTTCGCGATATCTTATTCTCTTGAGATGCGCGTTGCAATTTCATGCTTGTCCCATGAAAGCTGCCAGGAGTGCATCCCTGAACCCCCTCGCCGCGGATCAGGCGCGCGCGTCCGCAACCGTCTCTTTGCCGGAGAATCATCGCCCCGCTCGCGGCGCCCGGCCCTGCTCATCCTCGGGCGCGAGCGCGCGAGCGCGGAGTTCCCCGACCGCCCAAGTGCGCGGGCACGGCGCGCCAGAAAGCGCGGTGGATCAACGCCGCAATCGCGCCGCATCTCGACATCGGGAGGGCGGGCGGCAGCGTGGCAGAGGGCGACGACGTCGTGGCGAGAATATCTGACTT